TCCTTTTTTTTTTTTTTTTTTTTTTAAAGGGGTGTGTGTGTATATGGGGGGTGGAGAGAGAGAGAGAGAGAGCAACCTCAGCAACGGGTCTCCTTAACACGGATCAGACGGCCCATGCAGGCCATCTGAAGGGTCCTCGCAGCCATCTAGTGCAAGACCCCCACGAAATCGAGGCAGGCAGCACATATGCAGTGGAGCACGAGCTGGCCAAATATATAGTCAAGATTCGAGTTCAGGTCTGCGTTTCAGCAGTTATGGGTTGGTCGCGTAGCTAGGCCCTGTTGATCTCTGGCATTCTCTGCACGTGACTCTTAGGGCTTGGCTGCACTACTCACGAAATGTGCAAAATTAGAATGAATCTTCTGCAGAATGTGGAATAATACATGTTTTGTCTTTTGTGCATTTGGTGAGTAGAGGCCCTTAGAGCCACTGCACGTATTCCTAAGAAAAGAAAAACGAGAAAAGAAAAGAAAAACGAGAAAAGAAAAGAAAAGAAAAACGAGAAAAGAAAAGGAAAACGACAGAAGAAAAGAGAAACGAGAAAACAGAGAAATAGTGACCCATAACCGAGATGCGCAGACCTGAATTCGAATCCAGAATATATATTGTCTGCCCACGGTCACAGAGTACGAGTTCGAATTGTACCTCTGGATGACATAGGATCCTGGGCCTCCTGGCTAGTATGCTGTAGGGATCCTACTGAAAAGAGGCTGGACCCAACTAGGACAGTTTTGGGGTATGGAGCGGCCCCGACTTTTCTCCCTCTTCCTTTCTGATTTTCAGAAACGAGGGGAATGTTTGGCCACCCCACACTGTCGTTTCAACTTTTTTTTTTTTTTTTTTTAGTGCACGCCGCAAGTATGAGAAAAAAAAAAAGGAACAAAGAAAACCAAACCCCCTCGTTTTCTGGGGCGTCTGGATCGTCGGTGAGGGTGGTAAAAAATAAGGCACTATTTTTTTTGGGCGGCCCAGGGCGTGAACAATCGCCCCCGACCACCGAAAAAAAAATTGGCCATTGGGCTAGGGCCCTCACATCCGGACCAAGATCCGGACCCGGACCCCGGACCACGGACGGTCCGGATCCCTGTCCGGTGGTCTGGATCGTAGCTATGGTTTGGACTTTGAAGGGGTGCATTTAACTGCATGACCATGCTTGAAACTTTTAATTTTCCTTTTCATTATTTGTCCGGAATTCAGTAAGGGGTTTTGAGGTAAGGACTTTGAAGGGGTGCATTTAACTGCATGACCATGCTTGTATTACAATGCTGCAGAACATGTTTCATCCAGACTTTTCTCGAAACCTAGAACATGTTTCTGGAAACCTTTCTGCAATTTTTCATCAGAAAGTTTAGTTTATTTAGGTCCTGGCAACGTTCTGCACTGAGGAGTCCTGGTTGTTCAGCACTGAATCGGCAGGCTGTCCAGTCTGGACGTCTGAACCAGGATACAGAGAACCCACGACATGCTGCCAAATGTCCGGCCTTGTACAATATGTCAGATCACACACACAATAAACCTCTTCACCAGCATCCATGTGGCCGTATTATGGCGACAAGACGAGTAGCAGAATGACAAAGCAGTGATCACATTTGCACAAGATCTGACAAATGGTGAACTCTCTTGATGATCGAAGCCTCCCTTCTCATCTCTATCCAGTGAATACAGCAACGAATGCAATGATAATAATTCAGATTAATTCTCCTTAAGCTGGTCTCTGCACCCGCCAATTTGACCACCTACTCTACACTTCGACTCCATCTCACACTTCACCAATGCACAATGCCGAAGAGACGAAGTTTTCTCCCACAGGCGCTGGACCTCTTCTTGGCGACCATCAGGTAAGACCCATGCCAACTTTTCTTCAGCCCTCCTTTTCTCCAGCATCTCCCCATTATAGCACCACCTCTCTCTCTCTCTCTCTCTCTCTCTCTCTCTCTCTCTCTCTCTCTCTCTCTCTCTCTCACTTCCTTCCAGGTGCCCAGCTATGGCAGGCACCTNCTCTCTCTCTCTCTCTCTCTCTCTCTCTCTCTCTCTCTCTCTCTCTCTCTCTCTCTCTCTCTCTCTCTCTCTCGCACTTCCTTCCAGGTGCCCAGCTATGGCAGGCACCCATCCTCTAAGTTGGCTGTCTGTCTGGCACATTTGCTGACGCTGTCTGTGTGGCAACCTGCTCACAAACCCTCCTGGCTTCTGCCCATACGCAATGGACTGCTGGCTGCCCGACTTCTCCCTATATGCGGAGGCTGGGATCCCTGCAGAAATTGGGTGTTGACAACAGTGATTACACTCATTAGGCTTGAAACTGGGTGCACCATCACAATTGTAAAAAGCTTGGGAGAAAGAAAGGAAGAAAGAAAGAAAGAGAAAAGGAATCCCTCCATCTTCCCTGTATTTGGTCTGCCCCGCTTTTTTTTTTTGGTTTTCTTTTTAGATCACGAAGCCCCTCGCCCCAACCTCAACATCCACCCTAGCACACACCGTCTTAAACCACGAGTACATCTGAGCCTCTTTTGTACGAGGCGGATCCTCCTGGTCATGAAGCTTTGCCAAAACACGAGCTTGTTGTTTTTGTTTTCGTTTTGGCTGGCGCCAGTAGCCGTTTTGGTTCTGTTGCCCCGAGCCTCCGGATTCCGAACGTTTTGGAATGAGCCGATTTTGATTCTGAGGTTTCCTGGGGCCGTGTATGGGTGGTTTAAGGAACATCGAGGAACCCCTCCACCATAGAGGCACCAGCGCTGGGCAAGGTTTCCCACCCAGGCCTGGTTGAAGATCATGCCAGATGAGCCCTGCTGTATGGGCACTTTGGATGCCTGGCATGATCATTCGTGCACCGGCCCCCATGAGTTCACTGGAGTGGGCCCCAGACCTTCATACCTAGAGTATCCTTATCCTTACTTGAGATACCAAAGCAGTGTCTAATGCCCACCTCCAGGCCAAGGTCTAACATATGGCAGCCCAGGGCCTATACTTAGTATGTCCAGCCCAGTGCAGCCGTGTCATCTGTACGCACAGTCTGTATGCATCTGCATCTAGACTGTGTGTGCATTCTCTCTGTATGTAGTCTGTAGGCTATGCAGGCTACAGATGTATGTGCTCTGTGGTGTAGTCTACAGGCCATCCGGGCTGCAGTCTGAAGTGCCGAAAGGCATATTTGATACAATGGACGTTGGTTAAGAAGAGACCGTTTTGTTTTTGTTGGATGGTCTGGTCTTTTATTATTTCCATGTGCCTGTTTTTCATTAGGAGGATGGTTAACTGGTACTACTTTCGTGACATCATGGTATACCCACGGTTTGGCAAGCTCTTATTTGGAAGGTTGTAATTTTTTAACTGCAGCAGTTTCTACGCCTGCGAATAGGATGGCTCACTCTCTTTTACTTTTCTGGGGACCAGAAGCACAAGGCGACTTCACTCGTTGGTGTCAATTAGGAGGTCTTTGGACTTTTATTGCTCTTCATGGTGCTTTTGCTTTAATTGGTTTTATGCTCCGTCAGTTCGAACTTGCTAGATCAGTGCAACTTCTGGCCCTATTTCTGTTTTTGTTTCAGTCTGTTTAATTTATCCCCTAGGTCGATCTGGTTGTTTTTTTGCGCCTAGTTTTGGAGTTGCAGCTATTTTTCGATTTATTCTTTTCTTTCAAGGTTTCCATAATTGGACCTTAAGTCCTTTTAATATGATGGGTGTTGCTGGAGTTTTAGGTGCAGCTCTGATCTCTATGTACTCAGTGCATTCTCTCTGTATGTAGTCTGTAGGCTATGCAGGCTACAGATGCATGTACTCTGTGGTGTAGTCTACAGGCCATCCGGGCTGCAGACAGGTGTAATCTGGATCTGTACATGTAATCTGTTTATGGTCTCTATGTAGTCGGTAGGCTATGCAGGCTACAGACGTATGCAATCTGTAAAGCAGTACACAGGCCTACCGGGCTGCAGACACAGTAATCTGTAGTGTACATGTTTCGGTGTTGCCACACCCTAGTTGGAAGTCATCTGTGTGAACCGAGTGCCCAACCTCAGTCGTACCTCATATGTAGTCTGAATGTAATCAGTCCACAGGTTCTACCACAGCCCCATCATTCCTATAGAAGCTCAATGCACCTGCAGAGGCTCAAACATGGCCTTGCCAACCCTCCACCCGTTCAGTCCTAGAGACGCTCAAGCATGGCTACCTCCAACCACGTCACAAGCTATCCTGCAGAGAGTTGAACTTCACCTCCCCATCTGTGAGGCCCATGGCCCTTGACATGGCCTCTCTCCCATCATCCTACAGAGGATCAAACGTGGCCTCCCCTACCCACCCAGCACTTACCCCGGCCGGGACTCAAACATGGCCTTCCTAACCCTACCACCCAAAATCTCCACCAGCTGAAACATGGCATCTTCAACCCACAAACCTCCACTCTCCATCCGCTTGCTCCCTTACCCCCCAACCCACGAATCCGTAATGTCCCGTGTATGTAGCATAGAGGATGTGTCTATCGCGCTAGTTGGGAGGCCAAGTAGTGGGTGTCATGTCATAACAACAACGGAGCATGTGCATTGTGCAGAAGAGGATGAAGAGGGGCCGGAATCGAACCCACAACCTGTCCGTTGCAACCCCAGAGCTCTAACCGGCTGAGCTATCATGCTTGCCCACTATCGCCTTCTCATTGTCCCTGAACCAGCTACTCTCATCTCTGCAAAGTTGCAAACCCAGAGTTGCCGGACTAAACCACGAGTATATGAAACCCTTCTGCAGACGCTGGCAGATTTAACCACCAAGTACGGGCGGTGTCATCCCTCCTCCTCATCGCCCCTGAACCAGCAACTCTCAGGTCTGCAATCCCTTCTGCAGCACTGTGGCAGTTTTTCATCATGAGTGAATTTGACTGGGCGCAGGCAGGCGTCTACATCCACAAAACGGCCGCGCCATAGCTTAGTTGCTTGGAGTGCTGGTATGTCACGCCACAAGTCACGGGTTCCGATCCCGTTTTTCTCCGGAGGTATGGCTGAGTGGCTAAAGTCATGGGTTTGCTAAATCAACATACACCTAGATTGTACTGTGCATCCCATTGGGGCCAACGCAAAAGTGGTAGGACGCATGTTTTTTGCAAGTATGAAGTTAATTGTTCAAGTATATCGCGGACAACTTCCCCATGAGCCCACGTAGGTCAGGTGGTAGGTCTTGCTGAGCCTTTTTGGTAGTGGAGACGATGATGAATGGTGAGGATAGCGAAGCCGATACAAAATCTTTCCACTATAGAATAGCCAACCTAGGCTACCAGAGTGGCCCGAGGCCACTCGCCCGGCTGGGCCAAAGAAAAAAAAAAAAAAAAGTGAACAAATTAAAAAAAATAAAAATAAAAAAATAACTCCTAAGTTTTTGTTACTTTTTCA